CTAGAACACTCGGAGAGGATGTGAAACTAGGTAACATTTTTTTAGAGAGAAAAAACTGTGTTATGATAAAAATAAAACTTAATAATAAAGGGCTATAAGCCAAGCTAGATATTTATTGCTAAAGTTTAAACAGTGAATTTAATAAAAAAAACAATAAACAAATGTTTCGACCTCTATCAGATCACTATTAATGTTAATAAAAGAATAATTATTAATTATTAATTTCGGATAAATATTATATGGCAATTAGAAATGTAAAATTTAAATTATTATTAATTTACTCTTATTATTTTCAGTAAAATCAATATAATTCAATCGTAAATCTTATTAAGATGTTACCAGAACTTAGACACAAGCCGAGATAGATAGAAAGATTTTTGCTTTTATAATAGTCATGTGTCAATTAACAAAAATGTGTGGATACTATGCTCATCCATTTATCAAAATGTGTAAAATGATCAAAGCTGTTATGTTTTTTTATTACATAATTCACAAATTGTACATAATTTACGAAAAGAATTTTAAATGTAGGCGGTTTAATTTGTAGTTGTCAGAATTCTTTTTTTACGGTATGGTTTTACGATCTAATTCTGCGAATAACATTTACTTTTACAGTTTTATCGAAATTTACAACTGTATCATTTAATTATTTACAATTATATTTTAATTAAAATATGTAAAATATATATAATATAAATTGTTCAATATTGTTACGTAGATAATACATATCTTCAACATTATTCGTGAATATTTAGTAAATAAAACCAATAAAGATATCGATGATCTAGACGTCCAATAAAGATATGATATAAATAATATAATTATATACATTTTACATAAAAATATTGCTCTAAATCATTCTTGAAAAATGTTATTACAATATCAGTTTGTATCATGCAGGAAAATATATAATACCGGCCGGTTGTGGTGTATTTATCGCGCCATACAGCACGCACCGTTTATCTCATCATTTTCCTGATCCTCACGATTTCAAACCGGAACGTTTTAGCTCTGAAAATTCCGAGGGAAGACATCCATATGCCTACATACCGTTTAGTGCAGGACCTCGCAATTGCATCGGTAAGAATAGCAAATATAAATTAATCATAAGATACATGAGAGAAGTATTAAAAAGGATACACATTCTACAATATATTATAAAAAAATTACAATCATAGTTAATTACTCTTCTCACATTCGACTGTGATTGATCAATTTCTAGCTTTTGATTTCTAATTTATTATAGACGACTAAAAATGAAGACTAAAAATTCTGTTTTATAAAGAAAACTAACGTTTTCTAAAAACTAATGTTTTTAAAAGTTTTTTCAATATATCATAAGATAAATATCATAAGATAGATCATAAGATTCATTAATTTTTTTCGAAGAAAGATATTTATCTTTCCTTTTTTGTATTGTTTAGGATACAAATTTGCCACTCTTGAAATAAAATCAATCGTCAGTGCTATTCTGAGGAAGTGCCGATTAGAGCCAACCCTTGGCAAAGAGAAAGTGATAGCTAAATTTCGATTGACGGTCAGAGCACAAGGTGGACTTTGGGTTAAATTAAGAGCGCGCGATAAACAATATTAACGCAATTAGATTAATAATTCCGTTTCTTAATTTTGCAAATTACAAACTATAAGTTGTTATAACGATGATATCTCAAAGATAATTTAATGAAAATAAAAAGCTATAACTATATGTCATTTCAACACTAAAGCAAAGTGACATTTGGTCAATGCATTCAACGCTTTTAGAAAGAAATACTTTAACAGTGCAGTTTAAATTATTTCTGAGATATTTCTTCGTATATTGTTTTTGTTCGTATATTGTAAGCAAAATGGCTGACACAAAAGTAAAGAAACGCGCAGAATTTTTCAAGAAATATATTATTATTGTTATGTATACAATACGTATACAAATTATTTCTCTCTATCAGTATAAACAAAAAATAAAATAATTTACGCTTTGCAAACGCTATTCTTCATATATAGTCAGTAAAATCATCGATTTTCGAGTATTATTGTTTTAAATCATTGAAATGAATGAGTTTACAGAAAAGCCACATGAATACTGTATCGTTAAATTAATCTTTTTTAAGTTGTGTCAAACAAAGAAGAAAAGGAAAGTCGATAAGAGCTAATGCGAATATCGGTGTATATGTCGGTGTTACAAAGTATTTAATTTATTATTCGTAATAATTATATAATTGATGTAATTCTGCGTTGTGTAATTTAAAGACCATTGGGTAGACCAAGACGTAGATGGGAAGATAATATTAGAATGGACCTTAACGAAATGGAGTACGAGGGTCACAAACAGAGGGATCTTGCTCAGGGACGGGAACAGTGGCGGGATTTGGTATTTGCGGCAATGAGCTTTCGAGTTCCTAACGCCTAATAATAATAATAATAATTCGTAATAATTACATATAAGTAAAACGCAGACATTTTCGTAATTTGAACTCAATTCAGCGTATATTAGATATATAGTAATACTATTTTACTTAAATAGTTCAAATAATAAGAAAAAAACATCGGTTAAGATGTAATGATCTAATTTAATATAAATAAAAATAAGATTAAAATGGAAAAGAAATTATTATATTAGATTTTGTTTTTCTACTTAACCCATGTTTTTTGCTATTTAAAAATCATAATAAAATTTTGCGTAAATAATTATAATTATTAAAGTATTTTGTACAAAAAAATTTTAATTGTTATCATTTTTAAAGTAAAATTATTGCTTCAACAAAAATAATAGCAAATGCAAACAGTAAATTAAAATATGTTATTAAATAAATATATGACGAATACATTTGTTATGTATATAATTTAGTATTTATATATATATATATATATACAATATATATATATATGTATATATCAGTATAAATATTGATATATTTCCAGTTCCAAACTTTTTGCAGGGACTGTACAGCTGATTCTAAGGACAGAAGCACAACGCATACCCAGTAAGCAAGAAACATTTTGAAACATTTTAGCAACGTTGTAGCAATGTTGTTACAACGTTGCTGAAATATTTCAAAATGTTTTTTGTTTATTGGATAAGAAAATTAACCAATTAAAATCCTTCATTTCCTTTCTTTCTATGAAATAAAAGACGAGAAGCATAAACTCTTACATAATTCATAACATATAAGGCAACCAATCAGAGTTTTTATTTTATGGAAACGAAGGAAACGAAAAACTTTGATGAAAATTTATTTTTATATTCATTATGTGTTATGCGTTGTGCAAGAGTCTGTGCTTCCCGCTAAAGACTCTGATTGGTTGATTTTCTTATGCTGTATGCATTATGCGTTATGCAAAGATCTGTGATGAGGCTTTAAGTCATTGTGTGTAATAGACTTAAAAATCGTTTATATTGGCCATAATCGCCCTATAAGCGCAAAATTTTCCTAAAATGTTATATCGATATTATTAAAAATTAAAAGTTATTAAAAGTTATTATAAGTTATTATATATATTAATATTTTGAGAACATCATATAATAATTTTTAATATCATGAGAGTATTCTATAGAGGTTATATGTCCACTTACATAATATCCTTTGTATTGTATCCTTAATATCCTTGACATATTATTAAAGTATTTTTAATTTAATGCAATTTAAATTCACAATCCAGTAACGAAAAGTTCCTAACAGTCTATGCTGCATCTCGTGATAAAAAAATGTTTCGGCGTAATTTTAAGTACATAGTTAGTAGGTACTACAACTGCGCGCCAAAATCATTTTCAGTCTTTAAACATTACTTATTCTGAATAGATGTAGCAGTTTTACAAATTAAAGTAAATGCTGTTATAATAATTTTTAATGTTTAAACAATATTACAAAAGTAAGTAGTTAAATAATGTTACTTTTAATAATGATATAACATTATCAGAAGTGGACATATAACCATTCATTAATATTTCGAGAATATTATTTAATATTATATAATTTTAGTAAAATATTCTTGAATGTTACATTTAATATTCTAAGAATATGCTTAAAATATTACTTAATAATAAATAATATACGCCTATAGCGTATGCCGTATACCGTAATCTGTGAAAATTGACCAATCACCTTCGAGTATTCTCTTCCTACAGTCGAATGAGAGGGAAATATTTGACTGTGATTAATCACTTCTTACAGATTACGGTAAATGGCCAATATAAACGCTCCCTTAGGTCTGCCACACACAAAATTCCGTAACAATATGTGTAAAATGTAAACTTAAGCCGATGAGCCAATCAGAATACTTTAGATTACGTAATTTAACGGAAATGGAAATAATAATAAATTTATCCATAACCTCGCAATAAGGTGAATTTCAATCGATTGAAACTCGCCTTATGGATAAGTTTACTGCTATTCCTATTTTCGTTAGAGTACGTAGATCTAAAGTAGTATTCTGATTGGTTCATCGGCTTAAGTTCATGTTTAAGGTTAATGTTACAGAAATTTTGTCTGCGACAGCCCTTAAGATTGATATTTTACGTGTCATACATATGTACAACAAACTTTCCAAGCATGTTGATTGGCTATAGCATGGAAAGATCCGAGAATCGTTTTATCCAATCAACAGGCTTGAAAAGTTTTGTCGACACTACGTGAAATGAATATCAGCCTTAAGGCACTCTATGCGCGCGCGCTTTGGCGCGACTTGCGCTGCTTGTACGGTAAAAATTGAACGTAATGCTCTGAAAGACAACGCAATCCAATTCGACTGACGTTTCGTCAAGGAGAAAAGCTTGGAAAGCGGCTATAAATCGTGCGGATTTTTGTCGCTATCCTTCGTTATCTCGATTATCTCGAATTTTTTACAAAATATTCGGTCGATTTTCCATTCGTCGTCCGAGCACTTTTCGGATTTCGATATTCGAACGAATACCTACATGTAAGAGCATTGGATCGCCGCGCCGGTCCGGTCGCTCTCCCGCGAAGGAGGGATGTGGAGGTCGCATCCTCGTGCTCCGTACACGCGAACGGCGGCGATGGCTATCAGTTGGCCGTGAGCCGTCAAGTGAGTCTGAGTTTGTGGTTGGTGTATGTAGCTTTGCAGCATCACGAGAAGCGATCGATTCTACGGAGCTGCGCTGTCTCGCACATCGCTCTTCTCTGTTCAGAGCGTTTCGTCTCGGAGCATGTCTTCGCGTAGACAGCGAGAGGCGATCGATCTACCACTCTCGTCGTGTCGAGAGACGTTAAAATAATCTCGGGGTAAGATAAATTAAGTTTGAAACGTAAAACAATTGGGAGATATAGGAAGACGGTGACAATTGTTAGGCACCCACATGATTAAGGATCGGAGGTGCCGATTCGATACAAGGCTCTCATATGAGATTCTGCATCAGTGACAGGAGCTCGCCTCGTCGTACAAAAGTGTGACAGAGAGAAAGGGGTGGGGAGAGAGAGAGAGAGAGAGAGAGAGAGAGAGAGAGAGAGAGAGAGAGAGAGAGAGGAAAAGGAAAGAGGGCAGAAAAGAGGGAGGAGAGAGAGAGAGAGAGAGAGAGAGAGGGGGGAGGAAACCGATCAATGTTCACGTGACAATCAACAACGCGAAGTGAAGTTGCCGCGAAAGGGTGCGCGAACAACGGCCATATTCAAGGCGAGCCCGTTGTCGCTCCCGGTAAACGCAGAGTCGCAAAAACAGTCTCGTGATTATTCATCGGGATAGAACGCGGAACGTGGTAAAAGAGAACAAGGTAGGAAAACGACGAGAACGAGGAAGTGCAGCATTTAAGTTCTTTTCAATACAATACGGTGACAGCGATCCCTTCCATCATCTCATCGAGATGGAGTTCAAGTTCAACGTAAATAAACTCTTGCCTAGAAAGATCAACAAGGTCACGCACAATCTGGTGCCGGAAGACTTCAAAGGTGATCGGCGTGAATTGAAGTGAGTACTCTTCTTTCTGAGATCCTAAAATAGTATAGCTCTCCCGAATTATTAATCATACTACGCAATGTCCATTTATACATCAAAACTCGCGCCCGTTCTGTGACTTTGCAAGTGATTTCATCGGCTTTCTGTATTTATTAAATTGTGACGTCATAAGTATAAAGATATATCTTTATATTTATGACGTTAAAATGTATGCATTTTACCAATGTAAAAAAAAATGTACGCGTATATATTTCTCCAGTAGGTGCTTCAAAAGTGACATAATTAAAAAAAAAGTTAACTTTTCCAGAAAATGAGAAAAGTATTTTTTTAATGACAGAAAATTATTGACTAATAAAATAATATCAACAAAGAAATATTCTTAATATGATCAAATGTCATTTTCGTTATTTTAGTTTACAACCGTTAAAAATCATCCTCTGTAAGTTGACGAGTTTCCCTTTTTTTAAAAAATCTTTTTTTAATTGCGCCGATTTTGATGATTTTTTTTACGAATAAGTTTAGTTAATTTACTTTTGATCGATAGGATAATTTACTTAACTCATTCATGGTAATAACTCGTAAATTACATTACGTTTGAGTTATGTCACTTTTCAAGTAAGGAGCGATATGTATGTATATGTCCACACATGCGCGCGCACACTCATATTCATACTGACAGTACAGAATATTTATGATAAATATTTACTAATATTCATTTTTTGAAATGTTATATAGATATTTTATACACATTTTATATGAAACTTTATTCGAAATATTATTAAAATATAGACTAAACATTTTATATAATATTTATGATAAATATATTATAAATAAGTATTTCTACACTAAGTAATTTTTTATTTGGATTATAATGTCTTATTATAAGTATTTTCATAGCGCTTACTATAACATTTACAATAAATATTTCATAATATTTATAATAAATGTTTATGATCTGTGCAACCTAAGCAATCTAAGAAGACCACAAAAATATTTACAAAATATTAAAAATAAATCTTATAAATATTTATCAATATTTTGTAAATATTTTATAAATATTGTATGCTGTCTGGTATACACGCGCGCACAATTACAAATCTTGTTATGAATTCTAAATCCATAATTTATTTTGAGCAAATATGCATTGCAGCATTTGCGAAAGCTTATTTATTTCATGTTCGATATTCTGTCTTATCATGAAGAATAACAATATATTAAACAATTAAATATGATTTAAGTATAATCACTTTAAACAAGATATTCTATCAATTCGCTTTTCTAATGTTTCATATCTTTTCGATAAATGATAAGACACCAACTAATAACGAGAATACATCCATTATCTAATTGCTGAAGGAATGTTATTGATGTGTTCAAATCTGCTATTGCGTTAGATCTAATTCAGTCAATGCGGAATACTTAGAAACTGCAGAAAGTAATGTAGTTTTATATATCATTCCTACATAATTAAGATTTAGGTTACGATGTTATATAAGCAATTTCCACGATAAAGTCTAGCTAGATAAGATTCCTTATTCCATTTATTCAATCCATATTCGTTACGACAGACGGTGGGATACTCTTCTCTCTCCGAGATAGCTTTCTGTCATAAGAAAGTTAGCGAATTGTAAAGTAAATGAGTTTTTTCGAACAATAAAGTCGGACAGACGGTTTTATATATACCGTAGATTCTCGGTTCAAGGAACTCGGTTCACTTGCAATAACTTCTATCGAATTCTTGGGCAGTGACTCGCGACGCTCGCGGAAGTCTATGGCGAAATGGCAGAGAAGTATCGTGGTTTCTCACCGTGAAAGATTTGTCCTTCGTTATTTATTGTAGGTATACAGAAAACCTAGGTTACCTGTTCTCCGGTTGCATACATGTCCTCCTTGACAGAAGCAGTTGATGCAATGACACGCGCTGCAAAATTATTATTCCGATATTAACCCATTATACAGTACTTATAGATCATTGTAGCAATGTTGCAGCAACATTGTAATTTATGTGCTAACAATATTGCAGTAACATTACGTTTTAGCAATATTGCAGTATAATATAACAGAAGCGCGAAGATTTCATTTTTTCACATTTCCTTTTTATTTATACGTTTCTACTGAAAATAATTTTGAGATTGCATAATTTTGTTAATTACATAAGTTGAGGTACAAACGTAAATATGCGATGCACTTTTATAAGAATATGTCAAATACTTGTTGTGAAGAAAAATATTTTTTTTTAAGAATTAAAATTCTACAGCAATATTTCTTCTATGTGATGCAAGATACAAGGAAGCGTTTTCGATTTTATAAAATTGGTTAAAAAAGCTAAAAAATGCAGTACTGTAAAATTAAATAACCTATTGTTGTCAAAGCATTGTTAAGCTAGCGTTTTATGTAAGATACTTCCGTGAAATTTCATGTCTTTAAGAGCTGTAGATTTCGCAATGCAACTTTCCACATTCGGTAATTACTCGTTTTTTTCGTCGTACAATCCATCATACTTCACGCCAATAGCGTATAATGATTATAGGAGAAGATATAATACCGATAGAATAAATTAACCCGATCTTTATCGCCAAAATGGATTGGCGCGCGTCCAAAACATGAATCAGGTCATCGCTGTAACTGAATAATGTGTTACACGAGGAATCTTTCTTATTAGAACGGCGCAAATAATTGCATCTATATAATTTTCTAACGTATAATTTTGTCTAATTTAATCTAATATGAAATTAAATATTGCATGCTGCGCTCTAATATTTAATACTGATTATTACAGAATGCATAAGAAACTTTTCTATCTTAACAAATCTTATATCTTTCTATTTAATAAATAATTTACTTTATTATTATTCAGAGGCGCCAGCTTTATATAGCTTGTTAGTATTAGTTGAAAATGATTATGTATAAAAGTAAAGTTTTTTTTATTATCCTCTATCTAATATAAAAAGAATTAATTGACATAAAAATTTATCTGAATTAATGCTTTCTTCTAATAATTGTACTTTCTACTTTTTTCTATACTCTCTCTCTCTCTCTCTTTCTCTTTCCTCCTCCTGCCTCCCTCCCTCTCTCTTTCTTCTCTCATCACTCTCCTATCCTTTACTCATGCTATAGCTATTTTCCGCTAGTTTTAAAAAATGTTTTGTCCTTGACACAAGAACATCGGAGAATTAATTAGCATAGTTTTACGAAATTGATGCTAGTAGCATAAAATATGAAGATGAAAAGTAGAACGTGACTGTTTCGTACTATTTCAGCGTGTAATCGCTATGTAAAATCGTTATATCCGTAGCAATTGTAATTATAGCATTGAAAAATAGCAATGCTTGATCGAGATGTTACTTCTAACTTGCACCTAATTTAAGAGGTATCTGCAACAATTTGATATTTTACATTAAAATTTTTTAAATCAGAAATTCTTCACATATTTTTAATTCTTATATTACCTTTTCCGTAATTATATGTTTAGGATGCTTTCAGAGATTTTTTTCTAACTGTATTGGATTACATTTTCTTAATTAATCATATTATAAAAATAGAGATAAATAAAAAATATTAAAAATTTTGTGTACAAATTATATAAAGCGTCTTGTATATCAACATATCTAGCTAAATCTACTAATTGCAAATTAAAATTGTATGCAAATATATTCAATTTATTTAGTTGTAAATATTGATATATCTGATAAGTATCATCTTTTTTTTAGCGAATGTCAAAGATTATTGAGCAGAATATTGGACGATATGGGTGAGGCATCAGCAAGAGCTCAAGGACTCAACAAGCCAATTACTAGCGCCCTTAAACTCCGAGACACAGATCACATGATTTATTTGCTAGTAGATAATGAAGGGAACAAGTAAGTTTTTCTCTTCATTTAGATAAATTTACTTGAAATATAATATTTGTCGCATAAATAATTATTTACTCTTGAGATTTGTACTATTGCTTGTGTTATACAGACAACACTATATTCAAATTTCTGTATTTCGATACATAATCCAATTGATCTAACAAATTCTTAAAAAAAAAGTCTTCTCAAATTTTTAAAAAAATTTCTGACTATTAATATTCAAAATCATACAAAATACAATGGTTTTTATTATTGATACGTCTTGTATCTTGTTTTGTACGTCTCGTATACCCCGTTTGATAAATTGAAATATCTTAAATTTGCGAACTTTAAAAGAGATATGGAATGATGCTAAAATAATACCTAAAATGAACATTTTTTAGCCGAAAATATTGGCAAGTAGATACTGTTCGCAAACGCTCAAATGGACAATAGCTGAGCGTGCTAGGCTAGCTAGACAAATGCAGTGAAAATAGGAAGATAGACATGACGATTGCCATATTAATATTGTTTGTTTACGTACAGTTTTATATTTTGCGAACAGAATATTATTTTGCAATTGTATGGAAGTTTTCTCAATTTCATTTGTTTTATCTTATCTAAGATTATTCTTGTAGATCTAAAAGTATTGAGAATCTTTTATATTTACACTGTTATACATAGTTATTCTCTAAATTCTTTGGCGTGGAATTTTATTCTTAAAAATAAAATTTGTCGGTTTTGAAAAAGAATGGCTCAATTTTCAATCTTTAAGAGTGTTCATTCTTTAAAGATTCATTCGTTCTAAAAGTTTTTGAAAATATTCCAGACTTGAGACTTATACTGTTTATATAATATATGCGCAACATTATTTTTGTAGTAAATATATAAAATGTAAAATTCCAAGATATAAAAATAGAATACGCTCCTGAGTTGTTGACATGCAATATGCACACAGCCGGGCACTCGCGAGTATTCGTGGGCGCGCGTGCCCAATTTCAGCATTTTGTCGACTCCTGCTGGAGTATATGAGATACGCATCAGACCATACACAGATATTACGCATTACTTGGCGATCATTACGATACTGTAACGACGCGACGTGACATAGTATTTTTCAAAGTCGTAGGAAACTGTGATTCATTCGCATAATAAAATCTCTTGATTTTGCAGTGGGCTCGGTAGTGTGGTGGGATTACTGAAAACAGGATCGAAAAATTTGTTTCTGTTTGATGAAATGGGAGAGCATTATCAGCTGCAGGCGAGATGTATCTTGGATTTCTACGTGCACGAGTCGCGACAGCGTATGGGTTTGGGCAATATTCTCTATCAGCACATGTTATCTGTAAGTTCAGCGCTCATTTTCAAATCTTAAATTATATTTAATCTCTTAGGTTTACCTTCGATAAAGAATCGCCTATAGATAAGTTTAAAATAACATATAATTAACAAACTCTGGTCAATAAGAATTATAATAATCGCAACTAATAAAATAAAATAGTTAATAAAAAGAAATTAAAACTAGTAAAATATACATTTTTAATTTTGTCTTTGAGATTATCTAGAGAAAAAAAAATTCCTCTGACAAGTCTGAATGATATTTCACGAAAATAAGTGTTAATGAATAATTATTATAAATGCAGAAAAAGTAATTCAGAATTTAATTATTGTAAAAGATTATTTATTTCTTACCTTTATATTGTCATGTTGTGATTAATTGTTTTATTACGCAAAATTATACAATAAAATATTGCTATTATTATCGTTTCTAAGATGTGTTTGTCGAAGGTAGCCGATTTAATTATATAGCGTTCTCTTTCGATAATTGTATGTTAATGAAACCACGAGAAACGAACCGTTCTCATGTGAAGAGAGAGTTTCCGCTATACAATACTCGAACTTCCCCGCTCGAAGACAAATCTTCGATGCGCCAGTAGAAGGTATAATTACTTCCTGCACGGTAGATACTTAAATTGTTAAGACTGTGCGAAACAGAAGTTTAACCGTTACAATCGCAGCTACACAGAGAGAAACGAATAATATTTATATAACATTTATTTGGTTACATAATATGGTATTAATTAATATTAATAATTAATAACGATAATATAATTGCAATCTTTTACAAATGTAGTAAAATCGATTATTTTATAAACTTTTATAAATAATTAATATATTACGATTTTACTACGTTTGTTAAAGATTTCAATATTTAAATAGAAATTGATAAAAAATAAATATAACATTTGTATGTGTATTACTAAATACAAAATATTTTTTATTAATTTTTTTATTAAGTTTTGTAGCAAAAAATATAGATTTAGATAATATAAATTGTAATTTGGAAATTTATATTATTATATTATTTAAAAAATGCATAACAAATGCATAACAAATGCATTTACGCGAATTAATAAACAGTAACTCGCAAAAATTAATATATATAACTGTTTTCAAAAGAAAATTACAGCGAGAAATAATTTTTAAAGTAAAGTATAGCATATACACACGCGTATAATATAAAGATGAGAAAAATGAAGAATTCTGCAAACTGTTTTTCGTTCCGCTCGAGGACTCAAAACCCTGAAATCGGTGTCATGTGAGGACAAGTGCAGAGAACTGTAACGAAAGAAAACGGACATTCTTTATTTTTGTGCTCAACTTATCTAGAATACCATATTTCTTTGTACATAATATAAGATTCGTATAATAAGTAGATATAAATTTAATAACTTACTGTAAATAATATATGTTTTTTGTTTGTTATGTAAGACCAACTTTTGTTTCCATTGTTAAGAATTTATGAAAATTCGGGAAAAAATATTCTACATATAATTATATAAAATTATATATATTTTTATATAATTTTATATAATTGTATATAAAATATTTTTTTCCGCGAATAATTCATTTTTTTTAAATATTTGTTATCTTTTTAATTTAAATTAAATAAAAAAATTTAAGTAAAAAAATTTTATACCTTTATTGCATGAAGAATTTTGAAAAAAATTACCAAGATTTCACAAGCGCGTTTATTGAAATATTAATTTTGTATGTATTATAGTACCTATATATGTATATTAATATATATTTTATGATATCTAAACAAGATTTGAAATCAAATTGATAATTCAGTTTCATTGTTTTTACTTACAAGTCGAAATAATTAGATACTATGATGAAAATTAAGATGAAACGCGCACAGTCACAAAATGAATGTATATGTCGTTATACTCAACTGTGCATATGACATTACTAGGATTTCACTACAAATAACGTGAATTGATTACAACCGCTCGGAATAAAACTTCAAACTCGACTAAACTCGTGTCTACAATATTTGTGTTTATATCTCTTCACTTACCTCTCATATTATGACTCATTCGAAAGTACGACGTCATAATTATTTGCGTATCCAACGTTACATGGCATCAATGTGTGAGATACACGCGACAGATAATATTTCTTTTGATCATAGTAGAAATTGATTCTAGTTTCTCGTCAAAGTATCTAATAATATACCTATTGACAAAACTTCTTGCGATTATACAGCGCGATGTCTTGTACGTATTAAAAACGACAATTTTATTGCACAAATAAGAAAACGTGCTAATTAGAAACGCGATGTTTTTATATCAACTTCAATACTAAAACTTTATGAAACATTCACTCAGTTCGCTATAAACGATTGCTTAGGACTTTCGTATTTCTCGCGTGATTGTAATTTTATAATGCACGGACTCTTTCGTGGTCGCCGCGATTTTCTCGCGAGAAAACCGAGATATTGTGAAAACGTGATTGATCTTAAAAATAAATGCGTGACGAAAGGTCATTATATTATATCGCATACGGAGGAAAGCGGGTGTTACGCTCGAAGGTAACTCGCAAGGTGACTGAACTCATCCAGTCCGTTTGTTTCGGCACGGTTCGTCGGTTTGTATTTACAGTGGTATACTGATAGGTATTTTTTCCTACTATCATGCTTCTTTTACACGAAATAATTAATATTAGAAACTTGATTTTTCGCATCAAACATGATTAATCGCATCCGGCGATGCGATAGCCTGACCTATGAAAGTTAATTACATTTATGTTACTACATTCTTTCATGGTCGCGTATACATACATACAGTATCAATTAATCGAAACTTGAACGTTTTAAGGTCTAACAAAATACTATTGCTACATAGTTATGCTAATAATAAATTAAGAGAAATATGCACTATTTAAAAAAATGGCGATAATTTGGCTTTATGTGACTATAAAAAAATCAATTTTTTTGGATATTGATTTTATAATTATTTGTCCCTTCAGACATATAAATTTTATTTGAAATATTTTCCATGATAATGCATCATTTATAGAATATTCGACGTGAACAATTAAAATGATGTGTATAATCAAATCAAGTTTAATTTGTCTTTCTTTTTGCTTAGAACCAGATAATTAATTAATATCTTATTCTTTTATGACACATATAATTCATATATATTTTAAATTATAAAATGCGAATATTTATTTTGAGACTATTTATTTTATCCTTTTTCTATTCGCTTACTTATATTTTTATTTTAATACCTTTTTATTTTTATTCTACTTTTAATAAAAAAAGTATTTTGATTTATAGGAGGAAAACATTAGGCCAGTGAAATTGGCAATTGATCGACCATCGGAGAAGTTCTTAGCTTTTCTACGCAAATACTACGGACTCTCAAAGATTATTCCACAGAATAATAAATTTGTCGTCTTTGAAGGATTCTTTGATGACGGTACGTAATTAATATTTTGGTATGAATTTTCTTTGAATACACGCAATATATATGTATGACACATTAATGTTAGCAAACAAATTATTTTCTTAAACATTTCTCAAACATTTACTAAGAACTACTTTAATAAAATATTTCTCTGAAACAAAGTAAATTTATTTAGAAATAGTACAATACATTTTTTTTTTACTCTTACAGTGATCAGTTTTTTTTTTTTGCGAGAAAGTATAGTTCCTCAAAGAATTTCTAACGCACCTAAAATTTAAAAACGTTGGATATATGTAAAAGTTACAAGTAGATTTTAAGAACAGAGTTCAAGGAAACTTTTGTTTTTGCGTTTGTAGAGAGTCGAGATGTAAGAAGCAATAGATACAGTTTACCTCCAAGAGTGAACTTGGACGATGATACGCCGGGTAATAATGACAGTTACGGAAGGAACGGTGCTAGGTAGGTGCGTCAAATCGAATTACGATTTATGAAGCGACAGATGCGAATCATAAACGGTTTACAGTTATATGGAAGAAAATGATATATTGCTTTTCAGTTTCACCGGGGTACCATACGTTTCGCGTAGTTCATTCGGTAGATACGCTGCGGCGCGGCCGCCCTGCTCCATGGCAAATGTGAGTACAACGACATAGAGAAATAGCCGAGAAAAACTTTTAAGTCACGTTTTAATTTATCAGTTCTGATATATTATACTAATAATTATATAAATGTACATTAAATTGTAATGTATTAGAGAAGAAAAAAAAAAGAAAAAGATGGAGAAAAGGGAGAACAAAAATTGTGTACACAATTGCAATGATATAATTAAAATCACCGCATTTTGATATTTGCAAAGCTTAAACATTTATCTCTAAATACAGAATATATAATAGAGACATTATTTTTTAATTATATAAAAAAATAATCTAAAATTTTTAATTATTGCTAAAAATATGTATAGCTCTACGCAGAAAATATTTTTATTTCTAGTTGCTATTGAATGAAATCAAGCGTAAAAATTTCTTATCGCGAAACATATTTGCGGTATTTACACAGACGTTTTCTTCTTCATTAAAATCTAATATTATTGTATACTTGAAAATATTAACCATGCAATTTCTCTTAGGCTTTCCACATTTCTCTTAACTTTGTAACACACAAAGCGTAGCATGACTAATCATTACATATTGGCGCTTTCTTTTAGATAATCCATAACACAGCGATGCTTGGTCAATCAGCCGAGCATACTGGGTGAGTAAAATTCACGGAATGGTTATTGAAGTGATCCAATTTGAGCCTGTGCTTGTCTTATAATTTTCTTTAATATTTAATTGGCTATTATGTGTAATAAGATTACACATGAAAGAGATTATGTGCAATATCTTTTGGTTGTGATATTTTGGAAGACTTTCTCTCATAGTTATGCATTGAAAATTTAATTTTTAAAAAACTTCAAATAAAATTTTTAATCGTAAAGAACAATAAAATAATACTCAGCAAACGTAACGCATTTTAAATTAGCAGAACAGTGAGAGAAAATTTCTGAAAGTATGTATTATTATTTTTTTACGCATTGTTGCACTGTAAACAAACTTTTCTTTTTTAACGATCATCATCGAAGCTTGAAAAATCTTACTAAGAGTATATGTGCTCAATATATCTAAAATAATTGAAATAATTCAACATGCTTCAAATAATTCGTTGTAACACTGTCATGTGTCAATAATTATTGAATTTTGCTAAATTAATTAGATTATAAACAATAGATATAAATTGCGAATTTCTTGATCTCAGCTGTGGTCTATTAGAAAAAGAAAATAACCATTAAATTTAAGGTTGCATTTGGTTTCGGCGCTTACGCTCTGTTTTTCTTCAAGCTTCGTTCTATTTTTCTTCTGTAACTGTAAGTGATGAGTGATAAAAATTGTGTTCCTTTATTCACGAGTACTGAAAATCTACAGTTCATGTTACTATAGATTTTTAGTACTCGCAGTGAATAACGGAACGCAGTTATAGATAGAATGAAGCGGGTGAGCGTTGAAACTGTATGTAATCTAGAGCTTTGGATATTATCTTTTGAGGACCGACGCTTTCTAACAAAGCATAACTTATAGAAAAGCCAATCTTACTTTCTAAAAGTTTTTGGGGTCGCTAAATCCGATTCTGACCTAAGATTAAAAAATTCAAAATAATGGATTTAATATGGCAAATTAAAAACAATATTTGATTGTATACTGCAAAACTCGGTTTTAAAGGATTTTTGAGATCGATAAATCTGATTTTGGAGATCGATTATGTATCTTGAAATAAAATAAAAATTACAAAAGTGAGCAAATTCATTAAATATTGACCAATGAAATAAAATATAATTATAATAAATTATAAATATTTATTATAAAAGATAATAATAATAATAAATTGTAAATAAATAATATTCTAATGAATATATTTATTTTTGTAATTTTCAACTTTATTCTAAGATATAATCGATTTCCTTGCCTCAGAATTCAGAAATTCCAAATAGTGGATCCAATATGACGAATCAAAATTTAAAAAATCTGATTATCACATAAAACTTCGTTTTAGGAACTTTTTACTTAAGTATAACATCAAATTTCGCTTTATTTGAAGCTCATTATTAGAGATATCAAGAAAATTTGCATTAAGAAATGTTTTATATGAGTATCATATAGATTTCTGAATTAATTTTTGCATAAAATTGAACAAAATTGTATTATCAAAGTACATCTTATTTATACTTTTATAGAGTCCTATTTTAGAAACTCAATTCAGAAAATTGTTCCACTAGAATACGGAAAGATCTCAATGTACTGCGTCTTTTGTATAGATATACATAAAAGTTACCAATACCTAAATACAGTTGAGTTTGATTATTATACATATATATTAGTGAAAAAATAAGGAATTGTTATTTAAATTTTTTTATTTTATTTATAAGGTTTGTAATTAGACATAAAAAAAATTTTAAGAAGATCATCAGTTGTATATATGTACACAAAATTAAATATAACTACATGCTTAATATATATGTCAGTAATATGATCTTTTATCCTATGAAAAATTAGTACAAAAATTATTTCGTTCTAATCAGTAAAACAGAGGACGCCAACATCCCGTCAAAAATGTTTGTTTACACGCACGCACGCACGCACGCACGCACGCATATTCCAGCTTAATTTATATAATTTGTGAGCATAAGAATATGTACATTATATATATTTATTTGATGCGCTATATGTATTAAAATTGTAGTTTATAAGTTTGTATGTAACTATTAGTAATTATATGTATATGAGTTAATAAAGTTTTATTTGCAAATTTGCTGTGCGCACAATCACATTTACGTTCCCTTTAATTAAAAAGATGTAAAACCCAATCAGGAATTTGATTATCTTTCAACTTTTGTATATGCAAAAGAATTTTTTTTTAACTTTATTGGATATCTTATTTATGATTTAAGATAGTATTTCAAGATGCAATCCTAAATGTATAAAAGTATTTTAAGAAATAAAACTTGCAATTGCCACTTTTTAATATTTATTTATTTAAGATTTATATATTATAAATATCAAAATAATCGATTTACGTATTCGTGAAAAAGTAAATTCTGTTGCAAAAATAATCGTAATAATTGTCAATTATGTACTTTTTTTTACATTAATTATATGATTGTAAAACTTGATATTTATTCGAATAAGAAAAATAAAAATTCTATTCCGTCGCGCCGTTCTGTTCACGCAATTAATTTTTTTTCAATGTAAACAATGTTTTATAACATTCTTACATGGCATTATATTTTAATGTTATAATTTGTTTACATAAAAATTGTGGTTTTTTTAACGTTTTACGTTCACCACACAGCATGAGAGAAGCATGTTTTATATTAATTGTTAACTGCGTATACAATTGTATGCGTAAAATGAAGTTTGTATATATTGTATATAAGAAATCCTCAACGAGAATATGCTCGTGAAAGATTTACGTGTACTTGAGACTGACAAGACAGAAAAAAACCATGTGACGTGAGTGCATATTGCTGCCGATTGCATATTGCTTGCTTGCCTGTCACCTGTCACGACTTGATAGGCAAGTTAATTTTTCAGCAATAGCAACAATGGCAATGTATCGCCGCTTCCACCATTGAAACTGGAGCGACCGCGTTCCTTGAGCCTCTATTCTGAAGAGGAGCAGAAGCAACGTAGTCTCGAGATGAACACCGTTCCGACGCCTGTCGTGCCGGATAATCAAACCAAGTCGTTCGTCCCTGTTCTGTTGGAAGCTGAAAAAACGGAAAAAAATGTGAAACCGTCACCGTCATGCAGTCAGGAAGTGGCCACTGGCACTAATCAACACGGCCACTTGGATCTTAAGTTCTACCATTCCCCTTTATGGTGAAACAATTTGGCTGATACACAGTTTTCTTCGTTTTTTTTTTAATTTAGGAATAATTCAACCATGCAAAGTTAACGCTAAATTTCCTTTTCTTTGTACGTAAATAGGATTATAAATCTAGGAGCAAAAAGTAAATAGTTGCTAATTCACAGTTGAAGCACTGAGATAAATAATTTTTAATTTATAACTTTTCTATTTCCTTTTTGTATATTAATATAGTAGAACTGTTTCTCTAGGTTTTTTATTATAAGATTGTAGCAGCATATCATAAATATGGAATCTGACGCAAAAGTAAGCAATATCATAATGTTCACATTAAAAAATCGTGTTAAATATTTAATTTTGCTTTATCGCTATTTTTTTTAAGATAAATATAAAATATCATAGGATAAACAGGTAATAAATATAAAATTTCCGTAAGAACTAAACAAATCCAGAGCTTTTTAATTTTTTAAAAAATGTTCTCCAAGTATTAATCAAAGTTTAAAATTGTGTATTTATACTTACTATATATCTAGAGAAAAATTCATTTCTACAATCATTTAATACAATCATTCATACAATGAAAATGAGAAGTTGTTTGTTTCTTCAAAATGTAATTTTCTGGACTTGTTTAGTTTTTGTGAAAAACTTCAAATATATCATGTATACATGAAAAAAGAAAAAAAAATATACATTCTTGGAAGCACAAGAATAAAAACGTACTCGCAGTTTGTACTCAAGTCAATCTATTTATAAAAATTTTTTCATGGATACATTTCGGCGAACGGCGTTGTTGCAACCTTCTTTATATTTGTACCATACTCCATGTTTTGTTAAAATATTTTTCATCAGAGAATATTTTTCTTGTGATTTTGGGGATATACGATTCATTGTTTTATTCTGTTTTTGACCATTTTTATTTCCACTCGTAATGATATTTCCAAAAAAGTCTTTGTATACCTGAAAAATTGTTAAGTATAAAGAGATTGACACACACACACAATAAAAAGAAAAACGCATAAAACTTACTATTTCCTTTAATGATGTCGCATCCTTTATGGATTGTTTCGTATTATTTACAAAATTAGAAGATATATTCTGAATATTTTCTACAATTTCCAGATTTCCTGGTTTTGCCATGTTTTCCGAGTTAACTTCACCGAGTCCTGTTAAGATACTCGCACGCTTTAAACGTTCGATCTCCAACTCTTGTGTGATTATCTGTTGTACTGCGTATGCGAGACTTCGATGCGCATTGCAATTAAGAAAAACGCCAATTTCCAAAATATTACTAAAAAAAAAGAATATGTTCCATTCTAAATAGGATGTCGAACATGTTAATGAATAACTATCGTTATTATAACATACGGGTCCAAATTGTAGATGTATCCTCTTTGAAAATTTTTTTCTTGCACGAACGATAAACCAAATTCAAGCATTACATTTATTATTCTAGCGAGATCAGACTTCTCTTTTGACGAATATAAATGAGAAGGAACTGTTCGCAATTTGGGCGTTAGAATGTCCGGCAAAAAACCAGCGATATCTGTAGTTAGAGTAAAAACATCACGTCCGCATACTCTTCGTACTGCTGTTAAAATACCTGTATTCTTCGCCAATTTTTGAGTTATCTAAAAAAATGACAAGGATAATGAAACATTCCAAAAATTTATCAAAGAATCGTACAATATCTATTGTACCAAATGAATTACAATATTTATATAAAAATACATATGTATATTATATATGCAATGATTCTTACACATTAATACTTCAACGTATGAATTTAGATAATTATTTCACTTGATTAATATCATTTTTTGTACCTTCATTCTTTTCTGCACAGAATGAATCAATTGATATAAAAAAACATAGTTGTTTAAAAAAAAATGTAGTTACACATTGCAAATTGCATAATTTTTCAAAAAAGTAATTTTGTGTTTTCTCTTTTCTCCAATTAATTTATTTCATTATTTTGTAAATAAAAGTATTAAGGTACAGTTGCCAAAAAATAAATAGTTTAGAAATAAAAGTATTATGTCAAGGTATAGTTGCAAAAAAATGAATAGTTTACAAGATGCTTTATATTTCATGTCAAAATTGGACAAAATAAAGTACAGAGGAACTTTATTATATTAAAAAAATCATATAACTTTCATAATCATAAAAAATTGATTTTGGGACAATTTTTTAACGTCTGTGTATATGTAAAATACTTACTTCGTTGGTAACGGTGGGATATGATAATTTCATTTTCTGTGTTCGTGCAAGATACAAGTGCCATGCAATAAATCCATAATTTGTGTAGGGCATAAGTGACCAAACCTGCTTGTGTAAAATGAGCGATATTACTAAATCATAAAATTGAAACCATTCCAAAGACATAGGTACGTTATTAAGTTTCCGATCACAGATTTCAGGGTAATTATGAAATATTCCTTGTATCAACTTATCCGTTTCACCTAAATAAATAAAAAATAAATACTTAAAAACATTTATATACCTATATTATATATATATATATATATATATATATATTAAAATTCGAAACACAGAAAATATATAAAGAGTAT